CAATCAAAAGCGAATTCATCAACCTTTATGCGCCTCTTGAGATAGTCCAGACAATCAATGAACTGGACCGCGCAGTCATCAGTGAAGCGTGGAGAATCATTGCTCGAAATTCGTGTCAAACGTGCCACTTACATTAGGTCCGATAACGGTACATTCGTTTTTTTACTTGCGTTTAAAACTAACCTTGCTGGATCGACCACGACCTTGGTTAAAATATTCGAGACTCTCGAAATTGACAAGCTGAAATATGAAGAACCAGCTTCATCGGCCATCAGAAGCATTTACAAAAGAGTTATCTTAATGTCTCGGTAGTATCAAGATGGAAAGTGACAACATAGGACAAGCATACAATGAATTCAAAGAATGCGTTTTTTTTCCTCGAAGAAAAACGTAGTTGGGATCAAGAGGACAGTAATATAGCTGTCATATTTTGTGGAGATGAATTAAACGGGACGAGTGCAACGGAAATCGTGCAAAAACACGTGCTTGCGATACTTCACTGTACTCTCTACTGCAACCCATCACTGCTTCGTGCATGCAGTCAACAAAAGCTATTAGCGAAACAGGAAATTTGTCAATCTGTTTTAATTTATCTACCTTTGGGCTCAGTAAAAATATTTATTTATTTCAATGAGCTATTTGTGAAATGTAGCTTGCAACTAGTGCCTCGTGTTTGTTGAAACTCAGTAAAAAGACGCAAATTAGTTTAACATTGACACGCATGTTAGTGCCAGCGTTTTTGTATTTTTAAGCAAAATTATAAATGGATAGCAGAGATTCGAAATATACTAACTACTACTATTTTTTCAATCATGAAGATTTTTTATTGGATGAATTTGATGCCTTGATGTAGAATGCGGACACGGAAACGGAGTGTACATACAGTTTCATACAGTCGTTACTGTGATGAGCGTGACATACGCCATGTGTACTTGTTGATCTTTGTCTCGTGAGAACTTGACTAGTTACTAATTGACGAATACGCGTCTGTTGGTAGGCTGTTTACATAAATTCGTGTAAAGAGTTTCTGGGATAATTGCGTTCGTTCGAGGTACTTAAAATGCAGACACTTTTATCAGATTTAATGTAAGTCGTCTTGACTGTAAGCTTTTTTATTTTTATCGTGCTTTTTCGCAGATCTAAACCTTATTGTATACATCTGGACGCGGGTCCACAGTGGTGTTCCTGATGTCCCCCATGCCGCCAAACATTCAGGCACCGTAAGGTGCGCAGAGGGCAGCGGTGTGGGGTTCAACAAAGAGCCCCCTGTGTTTGCTGAGGAAAGCAGTCCAAAATTGATCGTAAGTAAACATGTTAATGTTCTTGCACATTTTTCATTTGTAGTACAATGAAGTGGTACTAATCGGCGAGGCTCAGCTAAAATTTCTTTTTGATATATCTGATGATGTTACTGTCAGCTGGGATGCCGTTTTGTATTCGGGAGGTCGATTGTTGGTCAAGTTTCCTGACTTGGCTTTTGGCTGCTGCTCGAAAGAGAGGTACTGATTGACTGACTATTTAGAGGTGCGACGAACATTTTGTAACCACCAGCTTTGTTTACAGTTTCGTGCGCCTGTTAGAATTTGCAGAAGAAAGTTTGGATTGCCGCGAAGTGTATATGGAATTCGCAAGAGGTCGTCGTGATCGAACCTTGATTATTCGCACTTTCATGTACTTCGGATTTTCACTGCTTTCTCCGGATGAAACACCGCTGCCCATTTCGGTGGATAATCTCGTGATGAAGTATGTTATTGAGTGATGTATTTTGTGTAGTTTTTTACTTTGTACGGTCTTTTTGCGTTCGATGTTTTCATTGTGTATGGATGCATACTATTGTGTATTTTGATTACTTCAATTGATGCAGTAAATCAACCATAGACTGATGAAATTTTGTGATCGACTGCATTGTTGCAACTTAAAGAATTTTGTGCCAGGCGTTTGCACATTTTACCATTAACAGATGTATACCAACGTGCTAGTATGTATCATAATTTTCAGAGTACTTCGATATTAGTTGTCCAGTAATTTTTCGCAGTAAAAGCCATGCTGAACGGCGACTGTAATTACTGCTTCGAAGTTTTCTTGCTTCTGAGCATGCAAGTGTATAGTAGTTTTGGTTTGGGCTTTATATGTTGTTGATAAGTTGAGTATTTGACGGTCATGTTCAGTCGGAACAAATGTACAAGCCATTGTAGGTCTCAGTACAGCAAGAACGTTTTGGGGTCGTCTGTGCTAGATTATCCTAAGATTCTTTAATACCGTGTCGCTTGATAATTAAGTTTCTTATATATTCAGTCCGAATTAAAAATTTCGAGCAGCAGAAGTTTGTTAATTACTGGAGATGCACATTTTATAGTTGATTTCAGTGATAGGCGTAGGTCAAACCCGTTTCCTAAGCCGGAATTACGCCAGAGGCGGCGATACCGAGACCAGAAAATTTTCTCGACCCTTGGCATAAGTATATATTCGTTTGCTCATATCTGGATGAACATCAGTGCAATATTTTTCGAACTTCAGAAACTTATTACCTTTGCGGTTTGTGAGATAAGTTAGGACTATTAAAGAAGTTTGAACTGTTTAGAAAATACGTGTTGCTATCATAGGGTGACGGCATGATACGCAAATCTGGATTTTATTTCTCTCGTTTTAACCATCCAAGTAACGTTAAATGTTTTGTCTATTTCCTGGTAATCATCCACCTACATTCGGATCTTTCATTTAGCTTTTGGGGGACCTCGCTTGCTATTACGGTACGCTAATTAGTCAGGCAGGTTCGATGATCACTTATCCTTTCGGCTCGCAAAGGCAGACACATCAAACTGTGATTCCAAAATTTCCGATCCTGTGCCAACGTTTGAACTTTCACAGAAGATAATCCAATCCTCTGAAGCAGTTTAGAAACACCTGCCACAGGATATTCCTGGCCGTCTCCGTGGTCTTTGTCGGTTGGTAGAGCAAGTAGTAGCAGTTTCACCTCTTCTGGAGCCATTCGCAAGACATGTCCAAACCATCACAGCTGTGATTTCACAATCTGCAAGAGTAGCGGCCTTAGTCCTAGGCTCAGAAATCTGAATCCCGGACGATGTGGAGACGCGTGACCTCAGCGGTTTGTCTCTGAAAACTCCTTTTGAGTCACGCGTACCTGGAATGGAACTTTATGGCCCACGACTCATGACCGTGTGAGCGTCGCGATACAGATCAATTTGAATAGACGGCTTAGTTTTCGGACTCCGCTCTGTTTTAATCATAATGGTTTTGGGCTAGTTCACGCACAAGGCCGTTTATCATTCATATTCGACGGCCGATCTCTTCCATTTCTAATCGCAGATAAACTTGACCCCCCCCCAAGTATGTGAATGTCTCCATCGGTTCACTGCTGCTCTGTTTATCTGCCGAGCGCAACGGGTTAGAGAACGAGAAAGCACTAGACTTTTCGTCCACATGTATATCGCTACGTCGCATTCGGCTGTGAACCGTTCCAGAACGCTGGAGATCAGTCTCACAAGATGTCAACAAACCATGGTTGTTTGCAAACAGCATAAATTTTTGTTGTAAACTCTCATATCCTGATACATTCGTTGCCACGGCTGCTTCTGACGGTCCTATTCAAATATAACAAACGAAAGGGTGACAGAACGTAGATTTGACGGAGACTAATACCGGCGTTGAATGGCTTCAAATTCCTTTATTCTGACTTAGCAACTGACCTGCTATCAACATATAGTGATTGGATGGTTCGCAGCAACTGACTGTCAATTCTACGTGTCTAGATGCACGCCTATGGCTTGTTGCGCGGAATCCAATCATGTTTTATCGAAATCTACTTCGCTGACCATTCAGCATGAAATCGAAGTGCCTGCAGTGTCAGATGTGCATACAGATGGGCAAATGGTAGGAGATAGCGCAAGTGTGACAGTGTCGTCACCAGTTCGAACTCATAGACACATGTACAGTTATTGGGCAGGATAACTAAGATAGACTAACTGTTCAAGTTGCAAAGCATATTTTCTTTTCTCTTTCTCGCATCAGAGATGAAGCATTGTTTCTGACGAGCGGTGCAGAGAACGGGAGGAAAATATTATATTGCATGATTTTATGGTCAGTCGGTTTTCCGCGACCAGTAATGCATTCGAACTTTATTCGAAAATAAGGTGACGATTCATTCTCATTCTATGGTTAGCGACTCAAATGCTTTACTTCGTACGGCACTGTCTGGGTGAGATGCGACTAGCTAAACCTTTTGGGTGGCAACTAGAACCAGAAAAACGAATTAGTATTTTGCAAATCAGTCAACTCTAGTTTTGAACAACAGATGCATCATACCAGCATAATATTAATTTCACCGGTTTACAATACAAATAAAATATCATGTGTAAACGGTGTGTTAATCTGATGTTCAGATCAGGACTCGTATATTTTGGAATATTAATGGATACAACAGTTCAGTTTTTAGGCAGCAAATATTCCACAAATACGCTATTTTTCTCAAAGCACCTATGACTTCGCTAAGTTGTTTTAGTCTGTTGCTCTCTAAGCGGTTTTATAAATTTAATCATTTGTATCTTTTATAACTCCAGGTTGGGATTGAAGTTGTTTGCATAATGTGGCTGTTTTCCGTCATACTTAATATCCTTTTGCACGCCTGTCATATTACCACTTCTGCTAGGGAGCGCTTTTAACAGCAGTCACAATTTCTTGATGTTATTAAGTCGCATCAATTACCAATGTTGCAAAACAACGATTTCAATAGAAAGCTGTAACTGGACGGTGTCGAATTCTCGTCGATACAAAGAGGTTTCATTACTAAATTTTAGTCTTCAAAAGTGAAACCGTTATGGATTATTTGGTAAGAGAAGAGCAACAGCAAAAATGTTTTCGAAAGCCGAAGGTCTTTCTTAACAAAATCGAAGAAATTCGGTTGAAGAGATTTAAATAATTGGTGATAAGACTTTACTAACGATTGTCAACGCATTTATCTAAGTGCAGGACCGGTACAAGAACTGTTCAGAAACTTTATTGGAGTTTCAATGAATAAAAATAAATTCATTTTCAACATTTTTAAATAAACAGGTCTATTCGACTTTTGTTTTCTTTTCTTCAGGCTGATCATTTGCAGGACTTCCTGCAATACATAATAATTTTAAGCTTTATGTGAAAAAATAATTTCCAGAAACCACGAAACAGAATATGGTACGGTCGTGAGTAGTAGTATGCATGAAAACGCTAAAGAAATTTACAAGCAGACAAGTAGAAAAATAATAGATCATCGAGAAATGGCTCATTTTTTAACATATTAGGAGCTATTTTGCACAAGATAGAGTAAATTTCATCTGGAAATAGGCGTTTTGTGACAGATTTTTAACGCACATTGCGATTTTCGTCCATTGCACGACGTCTGACTTAGCAGCTACTTTGAAGGCTCGATGAAAAAGCATCGACTCGAATATGGAAGGAAAGAGAGAAAACTTATTAAGAATAAGCATAAAGCAGATGAACGCGCCTTTGGATATATGACCAAAACACCACTCAATTCAATTTCCATTACCACATCTATTGAGTCGCGGGGTCAGACAGTACTTCTAACTTTCCTGATACTGTGCCAGCGTTTCAGCTTTGACCAAAGATAGCTAAAGTTCAGAATAAAGTACTTCAATACACTTGGCTCAGATTAATCTTGGCCGTCCCCTGGGTTTTCTGTTGATCG